AGCCTGCTGGTGTGGAGCAAAGGTAAGGAGGAGTGCAGCAGAGAGGGAGAAGCAGTGTGCGTGTGTGGGAGACTGAGGGCTGTGGCAGGGCATGTAGAGGTGGGGTGGGGTGGGGGGTGGTAGCTACAGTCTCAGCTCTGGCCCCAACCCTGGGTAGGGCCCAGAGCCACGGCAGCAACCTGCCCCCCACCCCCTGCTGCCTTGTGCATGATTGTAAGGTGAAGAGGCTTTTTTCCCATGTTAAATGGGGCTGGGGGGAACCTTATCTTCTAATAGAGTAAATACAGTAGTTGGGGACAGTCCAGCTTTGAGCAGGGGGTTGGACTAGATGACCTCCTGAGGTCCCTTCCAATCCTAATTTTCTACGATCCCATGACTAGGTACAGGTCTTAACACCAAAGTCTTCATCAGTTTTGTTTTCACTCTTAACTGCATTTACTGGGAACATTGGCACCATGGCATGTCTCTCTCCCTAGTGTCTTCCACCAGCACCTGCTTCCTTTTTCTGCTTCCTTAGCCACTCCCACCACCTTGAAATTGGGAGTAGGGGACCTCCCACAATGAGTCAGCACAGCTTAGTCGGCAGTTTTGTGCCAGGCTCTGACGTCTGCTGACAGGAGAATCCAGACTCTTGATTCTCTTCTGCTTCTTCCAGCCTCCTTCCTTCTACATTAACCCACATGAGCTGTTGCACCGTTTCTCCTTCCTACTCCCTGTGTGACTTATGGCAGCACCACGCCAACAAATCCTGCTGTTCCACATATGCTTCCTAACGTTTTCCCTACATACTCCATGCTATGTGACCAGTTAGATCCCAGATTGGGAAAGGCTCCTGTAAGGGGCTCCCCCCAGGTAATTTTCTCTTTTATCTAATGCTAAAATGTTAGTACCAAGGAGAGACAGGCAAAAAGAGCAGGGAATCGATCCCTTTCTTCTCTCATTTGAATAGAAACTTTTTCTCATACCATAAGGAAGGACAGGACCAATGCCCTTGGGCAAACAAACTTGTATCGTGCTGCATTGACAAGAAAGATTTTTGCTTTTGAAAAATGCACTGCACAGAATGACTGGCTGTCAGGAAGTTGAACATGTGTAATGGGAAGGATATCAGGGTGGGGTGTAACATTTTGAGTAGAAATTCTTCTCCCCTGGTTTATTTCAAAGGCAAACATCTGCTAATACAATTGCTTGTGAAGAATTCAAATGATCAGAGCAGAGCAGGACTGACTGAGCAGTATCCGTAGGGAAGATCAGCTCCACTGTAGCCTGCAAAACCCACATCATGGCAACTGTAAGAGTTTAGCACACTGCATAATTGACCACACAGAGTTCCCTTATTTCTCTTTCCTCCCTGACCATGCTGCGCAGATACAGAGCCTAAAGATTTAGCTGCCTCTCAAACTAAACTAAACTAAGGTAAACTAAGGTACTGTGTCTTCAGGTGGTACAAATCAGATGGTTCTATTGCAGTGCCCTTTTACATCAGCTGAGTGTGTGGCCATTTACGTGCTATGAAGTTTTGGATTCTGTAGAGTCACTGAAACCAGGGGGAAGCATGTGTATTTGGAGTCAGGGTTAAGCATTCCTAAAGGCTGAACACATTGCTTATGTGGTGATTGGGATCATTTGTTTAATTTCTAATGATGATTGTGGCAAGGGGGGTATGAGCCATTAACATTCCAGCTGAGCAGTATGTTGTGGGTACTTATAAAGTGCTTTTTTCCAATGTTGCTGGGAGGTTGCAGGGTGGAATTCCCTGATAACCAGGAGGTCAGAGGCAGAAAAATTCTGGGAATGTGGTTCTTGATCTAACGTGGGAGAAAATCAGCCTAGGTCTTGCTGCTGAGCACTTGCGCCTTCAGGTTGGAGAGTTATGGGATCTTTTAAAATAAAAATCATGATGTTAACTGCTCATCTGGCACCTACCTCACATAAAGAATGTCCATAAGGTGTTGGTGATCAATCTTGGAGAGCACAGTGGAGAAGCTGACAGCTCTGACTTGTGTTTTCTGTGCTCTGTTGGAGGCAGATCATTTACTGCTGGCAAAATAACTCATCTGTATTCTTTTGTTCTCTCTTTGCATTTTATTTTACTCTGATCACTTATGGAGGGTGGAATTTAAAGATCAAGTCATTATTGAATTTAAACATGGGTTTAGGGTGTACAGGGTGGTGGTTGATTAGATTACACCTAGTATATCTCACACCTGACTTTCAAAGATGGCAGTGCCCACAGCTTCAGGTTGCCCTGAGTATGTGATTGGGCAGAGGGCAGGGAACCTTTGGGTACTAGAGGCATAATTTGAAAAAGGAGAAATCCATTTTGTCTATCATTTTGTCCTTTTTATTAACTGGTGTGCTCAGAAACTATGGTCTGCCAGAGAACAAATCACTTTCAGAGTCTAGGACAAGCTGGATTGTAAAAACTGTATGAGTGCCTTTCCACACACTCAACATAACCTACAGTGGTTTTTAAAACATGATTGTGGTCAGCAGGTTTCTAGCATGTTTACTCTGGCTGCTGTGGATGGGGAGCTCAGTGTTTTGGCCTAAAGACTGTTACTATAAGTTGTTTGGGCTAGGAGCGATGGTTTATGACTGGTACAAGACAAATAAGTAATTTATAGGGTAGTGCTAGTCTTTCTTTAGTAGTCTCAGGGTACAACAGTTCATGCTGCTCTGGGAAACTGAGCAAAAGTCCACCTATATGCTATGGTGATGGTTGAGCTTGCATCTCATCTTACTGTGCATCTTTAGGGCTCATATGAGGACTTCTTATCCATAGTAGCTCTGTGCATGTCTGTGTAGACACACATGCACGCAAACCCAATCAAAAAAGAATGTACAAAAATATGTGCAGTCCAGTGGCATCTAATTTCTAGGTAATCACCGGGCAATCTCACCATTTAACTGCAAAACACTACATCTGCTTTTTCAAACAACTTTGGATACCTCTGAAACCTTAAAGTCAAGAATATGTATGTGTTTCACTAGTGACATGTGCTCATGTCTGGCACTGAGCAGCCTGTGACTGTTATTGTTAGGGGCCTGAGAACTTGCGTGGTTTCAAATAGCTTTTTTATATTTTGTTACAAAGAATATCCAGAATCACTTGTGTAATACAAAGCAGTTTTAACACAACATGAATACATTTCTCTGGAAGCTATTTTATATTTTCTGGTAGATGCTTGTAAATCTTATTTAACTTGTTGTGATGCTTTCTTTGTGTGCAGCTTGGCACATCATCAGGCATATTCCAGTTTTTCTCATGAATAGTCAAAGCACCTTCAGAGATCAGGTATATCTTGCATGCTAACAGGGCTGCACAGCATCTTAAAGAATGAACAGAAAATAATTTGCAAGGTGGTTGGTGTCTCTACTGGGAGCTGATGTTTCCACAAATGACTATGACAGATTAGCACTGTGTAGGACTGACCCTTAGAGAAAGCTCATACATGTAAAAGCTCCTACTGGGGCACCTTGCTTAAGTGGGTCTGTTTCTGAGTGGTGCTTTCAAAAGCATGTAGAAATCAGCATGTCCCCTCCAAATTCAAGTTAACTCACAGCCCCCCAGCATCCTAGGTTGCTCTGTAGCCTCCTCCCACACACCTTGCAAGGTGTGTGGGCTAGCCTTGGCCCAAACTGTCTGCTCCAGCTGAGCAGGGAGCTGTGTGCCCCTAGCTTCTGGTCTGGGCCACTGCAGGCACTTGGCTGCATTTCCAGAATCAAAAGTGAATGTCTGCTCACTTGCTTATCGGTTCAGTCCATGCAGTTTAGACTAATTTGTGAAGATTGACTTGATTCAGCCTTGGGCTTTTTGACTGTCTGCACCTAGCCCAAGAGGTTTGTTTTTTCTCTCAGTCATGGTTAGTATGAGCCACTGTGCGTTGTGGCTTTGCACCAGTTTCAAAATAATTAAAATTTAGTAAAATGTGTTTTACAAAGAATGTTAAGAATACTGTTTTGCGCAGGTTGTCCACTTGCTTAAGCAACAGAATTAACTCAAAACACTTCACACATGCTGTTACCAAAATTGTAAGCAGAAATAACGTTCGTCAGGTTCATGCACACAAAAGAAAGTACAGCAAATGGTTAAATGTGACGAGAACAGCTAAACGATTTTGCCCACTCTTTCATTTTTATTGTGTAAAATTTGCAAATATATTGCTTCAAAGCATGTTCCAAAACTAAAAGCAGATGTTACTGCTGTGCAGAACCCACCCACAGAGCTCTCTGGCAAGCTATCTTATGCACCAGGTCATCCTATCTCATGTTGCTGTTTTATTGTAATGCTAAACGGGCCATAACACTATCCAGGTTGAATACAGCCACTTTATGTGAGATTGCATTTTACTGCCCTATTGCTATTTATGCCTAGCTTCACTTACTTCTGGAGTAGCAAGTTAGATCACAGGAATTTCTGGCTATACCTGTCTGTCTGTGTCTGCGCTTCAGGTTTGAGGTCTTGCTGTACTCTTGTTGTTCTCCTTGTTAATACATTGAATTCCAGCTGTGACCCCTTTTAGAGAACTGTGTGATTAACTGATTTTTGCTTCACTAAATAGCTCCAGAAATAGCAGGAGAGGGGGAATGAACTTTACCCAAACTGAAATATTTTTATTTTGACCGAAGTTTTAAAAGACTTTAATAAAAAAAAATTGAGGGGTATTTATAAGCAAAAAAAAATGTGCTGTTTTGAAACATTGAAATGAGAAAATGTTTAAATGAGAATTTTAGCTTTTTCAGAATCTTTTTTTCTTTTTCCCCTGAGAGAAACGATTCCTTTGCATTGAAGTGAATTTAATACCCAGATCAGTGTTCCTGAACTTCCTGTTTTAATAGAAATTTGGGCCAGAAATTTTCAGTCCGCTCTAGCCCAGAGCATTATTTTTTGGTTCTTTCCACAGGAAGGAGGGGAAGAAATAAGGCTTGTTGTAGAACGGTTTTACTGAGGTTAAAGCACAGGAGGGTTAATCAGTTTTTCTGTTTTCTCTTTAAAGATTCATCTTCCAACTATATCAGGCAACTTGAAACAAAAGTCAAACTGCTGGAGGATGACAATAAACTCCTTTCTCAGGTAGGTTTTCTAATAGCGTGATTGCTGTCAATATTTGGTGTGACTTGATCCTGCCATTAGTTCCATGCAGACTGACAGACCCTCGTGCTTCACTGGGGTCAGTGAGGCCCTGTAGGAGTTCATCTGTCTACTTCCATTTATTCAGCTGTGATCATAGACTCACAGGAACATAGGGCTGGGTGAGACTTCAGGAGGTCATTCAGTTCACACCCCCCTGTTAAAGGTAGGATCATCCTTGTCTAAGTCACCCTAGTCAAGAGCCTGTCTAACCTTCTTTTTTTTAAATGTTCAGAGATGGAGACTCCACAACCTCTCTAAATAGCCTATTCCAGTGCTTAACCATCCTCACACTGAGAAACTTCTTCCAAATATCTAATCTAAATATCTAACTTTGTTGCAGGTTTAAGAGCATTGCTTCTTGTTCTGTCCCATATGGCCACAAAGAATAATCTATCATCATCCTCTTCTAATACCTGAAGGATGGTTATAAAGACAGTTATCAAATCCTGCCTGTCTTCTCTTCTCCAGATCAAATAATCTCAGTTCTTTCAGCCTTTCATTGTTAATCATGTTTCCCAGACTTGTTTCCCAAAGGTTTTGGCTCTGCTTTACAAACAGTCCCCACGAAACATGCTATCTCGAAGTTGTATGTGAAAATAATAAACTGCTAAAACCTGTATCCCGAATAATAAACTGCATGAGAGGAAGGAGTGGGGAGAGAATGTAAGCCAAGAAAGTGTATGCACGTGAGAGAGGATGTTGGTGAGCTTTGGAGAAGTCTGTCACAGCTGTGGTAAGACGTGTGGAGGAACACAGAAGGGCTGCAGGCATCTGCTGAGAATGCCAGTGTCTCCATGAGCTTTGTTACAGGGTGCTGTCTTGACTGCCGATCCGTGTTTGACTGTGTAGGACTGGATTAGAAGCTGATAGTAAAAGGATACCACTGGGCCCTCACCCCTTGTAACTTCTAGTTATGATCTCTGGGTTTAAAAGCAAACGCTCCCATCACAGCTAAGAATGTTGTGCTTGCATCTATCCTTCCAGGCCCGCCCTGCCTGCCACTGCGCTGCTTTTGTTCTTTTTACTTCTCTGCTGCTCTGGCATGAAAATGCAAATGAGAGATCAGTAGGGAAGACCACACTTACCTAACTGGCATTTCCACAGACTCCAGCATAGAGCCCTGGGGACCAAATCCTCTGCTGAAATAAACCAGAGCAGATTATTTGAAGTCAGCTATATGATACAGCTATATTATACCTATTTACATCAGCCTCCAGTTCAGCTTTGTATCGCCAGTCCTCTTGGCTTCTCCCTTTATCCATGTGCTATCTTATTAACTGATGGTTTTTTTAGGTTTCTTCATTTCTAAACCTAATTTCTGTAATGTTCATTTCTGTGACTCTCTTAAAAAAACAAACAAACAAACAAAAAAACCCAAAAACAAAAAAACAAACAAAAAAACCCCAGGTCAATTTCTGCCCCATTTAAAGAGTCGGAGTAAATTTTTAGGATGGGTTCCTTGCATTAATAATGTCACTTTAGATTTATTGAAACAAAGATTTTTTTTCCCCTGAAAACAAAAAACCCTGACTTCTCCCATTTCACATTGTTCTGCTGGCTGCTTCCATTTCACTGAGAGTGAGCCATGAAAACATCCCTGGACCAGTTTAGTATTACTTTTGGTTTTGCTTTTGGGTTGAGAGAGATGCTGAAATGTTCATTTGATAATCAAAAGTCAAGCTCTTTCCCCATTTGGGCATAATGCTTACATCTTTGGGATTTTTTTTTCCTATTAGTGTGCTGTTTTTGTAAAATCTTACTTTACAAAAACCTAAATTCCAAGCTGTGGTTTGTCCCAACTGTGGCTCTTTAAATTCCTTCAAGTTGTTGCAATCATTAAATGGCAAGTCTGGTGTTAAAGCAAAGGAGTCTGTTAATCTGCATCATCAAGTTTTCAGCTCCAGGTGCCAAAGAGTTAAAGCTCAAAAAGGCACTCGGTCAACGGTTTCCAAATGGCCTTCAAACATTAGTCAATTGCTAATTTAATTTTGGCACTCATTTGCCCACCCATAAGTTAGCTGGTGGCAATTTAAACAGTTTCACTGGAAATATTGATAAACAGATGGGCCATGTTGAATGGTTGCTAAGAAACCAGTCATGGATTTGGTAACTGGTTCCCAGTTCAGTATGTCCTTGGCTTGATGACTCCTATCAGTAATGTAGGGAGGGATGCAACTGGGTGCCAAGGGCACAGGGGCAGTGGCAACTTTGAGTTTCCATGCAGTCACGATTTGCATAGCTACCAACAGCAGCTGCTTTCTTTCGCTGCCCTGCCAGTTGGAGGCCGGAGTAGTTGCCCTGATAGCCCACCCTAGTTATACCACTACTTCTTATCTTCTCCAAGTCATGGAGATTGAGTTGGCTGGCTGTTTTTATGAGGTCAAAAGAGTGACAAGTAATTAACAGGTGAAGAGTTCATGGGCTAAAAAGATGTCCAAATATTTTCCTCTCTCTGGCAAGTTGCTGCCAGCTAGATACTTGAAATATGTTTTTTGCATTTTTTTAATGTAGACCTCACATGAGGCAACCCCTTGACATGCTCAGGTTTGAAAGACCATATTTTATACCCTGAATTCTTATTTTAAGAAAGCATAGTTTTCACAGATTATCTTTTTAGCAGCTTTTTATTTTTATTTTTTAAATAAAAGTTCTTATTGCACCATTTAACAGAGAATGACTGGAGTCCTTTTTTTCCCCTTATATTCAAAGAAAAGTGAAAGGGGCACTGTCCTATTTGGTACCAGGCTGTTTGGTCATTTGGTAAATGATTCAGCTTAATACATGGATGAAAGGCCACTAGCTGAAACTAAATGCTGGAGGGAAAGGAAATTTTTTTTTTTTTTTTTGAACCACCATTTGCTACTGATCTGTCTGTACTGTGAAGGGAGTCTGCTGTTAAATATCCAACTCAGTTTTCAGACTTGGGGGCGTGAGTTTATACTTCATTTCACACTGTTTCTGTACATCCAAGTAGTTGTGGCTCCTTCTGCATTGATGTTTTGGACCCTTTAGTATCTATTGCTGTCGTGTCTTCAGTTATCCAGGCCTTTGTGGCTGCATTACTGCAAAGACGCTTAAAACTAGGAGTGCAGTGTCCTTAAACAAACTAACTCTGGACTTGCATGTGCAGCAGCCACCTCCTTTGTAATAGTGGCAACTGGGACTTGTGGCCCCAAAACTTTATTTGCTTTTCAAAAAATCTCTGGCTCTTCAAGGCACTAAGACCACTACTTCAAATAGCTTCTTTGTGCAATATCTATTTGTCTCTCCTAGGCAATTATGTGTCCTACATTACAGTGCTAATAGGAATGATGAAATGGTCCTTCTTGAGGGTAAAATTCTTGGGAACATGGAAGTTTTCACTGTAGCTGGTATGAATATGTGGACCTTTTTCCTGAAACTCATCCTCTTCAATATTATGTTCAAAATTCTTTTAACCTCACTCTTTAAGAACATCAATAAAGAAAGGAAAGGACAACGATAAGAAGTGTGTGTGTGTGTGTGTGTGTGTGTGTGTGTGTGTGTG